GCCAACATACAGTATATATGTGTGTGTGTGTGTGTGTGTGTGTGTGTGTGTGTGTGTGTGTGTGTGTGTGTGTGTGTGTGTGTGTGTGTGTCCTAAGCTGTGCTCCAAATTCTATTCCAAATGGACATCTCTGACACAAACGTACGCAGACATGACGTCACACAGATGTGGATTATTTAGTTTGAATTTATTTTAAATCATGTACATTTCTCATCTAGATCATACGCACATGTTATTGGGTCTTCAGATATATAATTCAAAGTACAACATGGTCCTCACACACACATCCACACACACATCTGATTAGAGCTGGGGGAGACGAGATTAAACGACACAGTGTGATCATTGGGGATAAACACCAGACACACACACACACGCACATATTTCATCTTCCCTTATCTCCTACCATCTTAACTCTCTTCTTGTTCGGCCTCACCTGCGTTACATCATATCCTCTCCCTCCTTTTCCCTTCCTTTCCTATTTCTCCTCATCTTACCTTTCCTTTCCTATTTCTCCTCATCTTACTTTTCCTTTCCTCTCATTTCCTATTTCCTCCTCACCTTTCATTCCCTTTATCTTCTCATTAACCTTTCCCCCTCCTCTCCTTTCCTATTTCCTCCTCACCTTTCATTCCCTTTATCTTCTCATTAACCTTTCCTTTCCCCCTCCTCTCCTTTCCTCTTTTCTCCTCACCTTTCATTCCCTTTATCTTCTCATTAACCTTTCCTTTCCCCCTCCTCTCCTTTCCTCTTTTCTCCTCACCTTTCATTCCCTTTATCTTCTCATTAACCTTTCCTTTCCCCCTCCTCTCCTTTCCTCCTCACCTTTCCTTCCCTCTCCCCTCTGTTTAACCTTTCCTTTTCCACCACCTTTACTTTATTTTCCTCTTGTCTTCCTTTCTCAAACATCAGTCTCTCTTCTCCTCTCTGTCCATTTCAAAATGAAAGCGCTATCGGCACGACTGCTCACCGTTAGCGCAAAAACAACATCATTACAAATGTACAGGGACAGCATGCTAATAATCACACATTAAGGGAACCTTCCGCTCGTTCAGCGTTCATCTCTTGGCTCATCTGCTCAGCTGTGTGTGTGTGTGTGTGTGTGTGTGTGTGTGTGTGTGTGTGTGTGAGGATTATGCAGAGCCAGATTTGGTCCGTATGCTCTAAAGGCGACCCCCCACCTCCGCAGCAGCAGCAGATTATGTGACTCTTAGCCAAAAAACGGATGGTATTTCCAAAACACATTAACACACAATCATCAAACGCGGCTAAACTTGTGTGTCAGAGACGGAAAGTGTTTGCGTGTGTGTGTGTTGTTGTTGTGTCTGGCTGTGTCAATCTAAAGTAGTGTCGTTAATTTCTCCCCGGCTGTTTTTTTATTTACGCATATCACTTGTGTGTGTGTGTCTATTAATAAACGCACAGAGGTACATGAGACAGGATGTGGTCGCCATGGTGCAAGGTTCGCCCACGCCTCAGTGTGTGTGTGTGTGTGTGTGTGTGTGTGTGTGTGTGTGTGTGTGTGGTCAGACAGCGTGTTTATGCATGATAGGTGATGCAAGCAGTTTCTATTTCAAAATGACGCCTTGCCGTGTTTCTCACCCTTTTTTCTTGCTAAGTTTAATAGAATTTCTTGCCTTATAGAAGTTGTCAAGGACACAGGAGGGTGACACACACACACACACACACACATAGAAAGACACACAAAGCCTGGATTACTTTTTTTTGATTAACAGAAACGATAACAGGTGAAAAAGAGTGATACATTATTATTTTACTGACGTGTGTGTGTGTGTGTGTGTGTGTGTGTGTATGCATGTGTGTGTGTCCTTCATTTCCAAGCTTGAAGGTTGATTCGAAAGTCAGGCAGTTACCACGGCAACCTCGCATGCCTTTGCATTACCAAGTTTAAAATGTCGGGGAAGCAAAACAAGAAAATATGTTTTAATTTACGACACTGCAACCGTGGGTCAGCTGTCATTTGCATATGATACTTAGCGCTTGTTTCATCCACCTCCGAGCGCCAGATGGGGGGTGTTTGCAGCATCAGGAAGATCCAGGTGGCGCCTGTTTGTGTCTCGGCGTGAAAAAGTACATTAAACACGTTCCCAGATGTTTTTCTTTGCGGCTTAAATAGCTTTGGATGAGCTGTGTGTTAAACCCCACCCGTGTGGTGTTGCAAAGTGTTTAAAACAAACGCTTCTTGGCTCTCAAAACCCAACTGAAACATGTTTTAGGTAAAAAGATGTCCACAAGGGGAACCCAGGGAGTGTTTCTATTTATACATCTTCACACACACACACACACACACACACACACACACACACACACACACACACACACACACACACACACACACACACACACACACACACACACACACACACACACACACACACACACACACACACACACACACACACACACACACACACACACACACACACACACAACAACACACACCACACACACACACACACACGAGGTAGTGAGGAGTTAAAACAATTGCAAATCGGATAGATATATAAATAACTGCTCTTCCTGTCTTTTTAATTTGTCTTCCCCCTGTCTAATTCCCAAGCCTTCATTTCATTTCTGCCTCTCTGTTGGACTCGATCACCTTCTCTGCTTCCCACCCACACCTCTCTCTCTGTCTGCCATCTGCTGGAGGAATACTTAACTTCAGTGGTTTAAGAAAAGGATATCTGGGCTGGTGATATTAGACGAGCCTCACTTAGCATTCGTCCGATGTCGTGTTCTCCTGATTACAGAAACACGGCCATGTTGGAAAGGTCGAGGGGTTCGTTGTCTGCGTCTGTTTTCATTAGTTCAGGCAAAGACGCACCTGGAAGAGTCTCTGTGTCCTGTCCAGTAACTCATGAATAAACAGCTGCTGCACATGGTTGAGGAACAGTTACAGCTTAATAATGAAGATCTTTAAAGGTCCCCTATTATACTGTTTTTCATCAATATATTATAGGTCTCAGATACAGAACATGTCTCTGAAGTGTTTGGCTCCAAATACCAAACAGATCATTGCAGCATTACCCATAATCCCCTCTGTTTCAGCCCTGTTTCCAAAGTGCTGATCCTCTGTCTGTTACTTTAGATGAAAATAAGGAGCCCCTCCCCACGCCCCTCTGAGAGATATTTGGTTAAAAAGAACACAATAGGCACGTTCACACCGGGTACTTTTCCCCGTACTTTTCCCGTTTAGTTCCGTTAGTACCTCTTATTTTTCGTTCACACCAAAAAGAGTACTTAGTGCCGGGAACTTTTTCCTCAATTTTTAGTGCCTGCTAGAGAGGTGGTACTTTCCTGGGGAGAAAACAGTACCATTTTCTATTGGCTGGGCGAATTGCAAACCACGCCCCGTAAAACTCTGAAAAGTTTTGTGAAGCCGCCATTGTATTTTCTGGCATTAGCATTATTAGCATTAGCCCCACGCACCAACGGAGAGAGAATAACTTATGGCAACACAAAAGAAAACATGGGAGCGGTAGAGATGAGGAGGTGTTGGCGTTCTGGCGATTTACTCGGAAGGCTTCAGTAGAAGCTGCTCCGGCCGGGGACTTCGGGTGGCAGTATACGCCATGAAGTTGTTTGCGGCCTGCCAGTAAACCCAAAGCAGAAGAAGACGAAGTGACATCAGCGGCTTCATTTGCCTAATCTTCCCTCAGGGAACTTATTCCGGTGTGAACGCGATCTGTACTTAGTTCCATGGGGGAACTAAGTGCTGGGCACTAAGTACGGCAAAGTACTTGGTGTGAAAGCGGCTAATGGTGCTCTAGGAGCAGATTCAGGTGATAAGGTGTGGGGGGGGGGTTACCTTGGTTGGTGATTGGCTAACGGTTACACAAGCCCAAACATCGTTATGACATCATAAAGTGGACAAAATCTAGTTTTTATATAAATGGATCGGGTCAAAAAGTGAGAGAATCTTTTTTCCTGAAACTTTCAGAGTGTCTTTACACAGAGACATGTTGATGTTGAAAAGACATGAATGCGCCTGATTCCCTGCTCGATTTTTCGATGCTAATGGGTTTCCACAGTTACTAAGATATGATCACAGTGGTTGTGATACTGCAGGATAATTACAGTACATGAGCCCAAAAGCAACCCTCTTCAGTGTTTCATGTACTGTGGATGTACTGTCACCCACTTTATTATAAGGGCTGTTATGTTTACCAAAATTAGGACGTTTTAGTTCCTGTCATAAAGAGGACGTTGTCCTCCCAAATCACTCATGAATGAACAGCTGTTTTTTAGAAAAAGTAGGCAGCACAAGTGCACTAGACAGAGATAACATGCATATTATCACGGTCATTTCACATCAATAACTGCGCTACATGACTCACTAAAGTCTCTAATGAAGCCCTTTGACCTGATTCACAATTGATTTGAACCACAAGTGACTCCAATGAAAGATGGGGGCGGGATAATAGGAAGAACAAGTGGAAATTAAAAACATAAATTGCTGAAGGGAATTGAGAGAGAGAGATGGGGTGAGTGTGTGAGAGTGAGTGTGTGTGTGTGAGTCTGCAGGGAACAGCATGTTGCTGCTCATTAAAGACAGAATGACACGCCGGCCGGCAGCAAACATACACACACACACACACACTCGCTTTAATTTGCCTTGGCAGCAATGAGACACTGATCTGACACTGAGAGCAGTCTAATGACAATGCGTAGGCGCACACACACAACACACACACACACACACACACACACACACACACACACACACACACACACACACACACACACACACAGAGGCAGGACATTGGTTTGTGTGAACACAGTGACACTTCCTGCTGTCATTAACGTATCCATCAATTTGACATATGGGTGTGTGTGTGTGCCTTTATTCATTGTGTGTGTGTGTGTGTTTGTTTGTGTTCCCAACGCCAATCAAACAGGTTCTTCCAGTTCTATTTATAGCCTCAAGGAAATAGGGTTGTTCCCACTTGAACACACAGACACACACCACTCTTCTCAGGTGTGTCTGTGTGCATGTGCGTGTGTGTGTGTGTGTGTGTGTGAAAAAGACACACACACACGAGAGGTGTGTCCTGCAGCCTACCTGAGGGGGCGTGGCTACCTGACAAGGGAAGTTTGAAAGCAGGAAGTAGGATTGTATTGTTTGGAGAGCTTGAATGGAGACTTACTGCTGAAGCGGGGGTAGAGATATTAGAGAGATTTGTAAAGTCGGTTTTAAGAAGGAAAGGGTGGGGAGAGAATGATCTAAGAAGGGTTTGAATAGAAAAGTTGAGAGAGCAGCTGCCTCTGATTGCACCACTGGAGGTTTTATAGCTTACTGCTGAGCTTCAGACAGTGAGATTATCAGCCAATGCCGGGGTTGTGTTATCCCAGCGGGTGCTGCATGGCGCCCCTGTTGTTCCGCTGTGAGGCTGAAGGGCAGGGGGACAACGACCAGCTCAGCCACGAAGACCACCTGGAGTCCATCCACAGGGAGAAATCACAGGAGAGCCGCCTGGTGGAAGAGGTCAGTGTGAGAGAGAGAGGGTGAACCCCAACACCATGGAGCAGGGGGGTCCAAACTACTTGAATCGGCCCTCAGCAAATTCAAAAAGCATCATGTAATACGGCCCACAAATGAAACTAGTGCTTGTCTTATATTGTACTTCTTCAATAGATATGTAAACATATATTACACAGTAGTATTCATGTGTTATTAAGACCATTTTCCAAATTAATTCAGTCAATTAAATACAAATGTGACTGTGGTTTGATTCTGGGAAGCTCCAGTGTGTGGTGGTTGGTTCAGTTTTTTAAAGTGGTGAGATCTTTATTTACATTGTGCCTGTGTGGTCTCCCCCCCCCCCCCGTGCCTTTTCATTTGCTGCTGTGGAAAGATGACATTATGTTGGGAGTACAAACCTTTTACTGTTTTGAAGGAGCAGGCTAGCAATGGTCTATATTTGTGTTATTGTCAACGAAAACAGCAACCATCTATTTGTCTTGTTGTCTTCTGACTTCCCTGCCCATTTGTTTCTACTGAGGGTCACAAATATATACTTTCTTTTCACAAAGCAGAGTCGGTGATGTCCAAAAACTCCAGGCTCTACTGTATATATATTTTTCTGCCAGAAGTAAACATAGCTTTTTGGGAGACTATGTGCTGTGCTTTGTTGCTCTGTTTACACATTTGAATAGGTTTTGGACACAACAGGTTTCATCACATTAAGGATTCGGCTTTGTCTTTTCACATTTGCATTTACCCCCAGGCTAAGGGGGCCTGAAGCTAACACAGCTTTTCAATGGCACAGTCCTGGCCCATTTCAAAGTGGGCTAACCCCGACTTTAGCCTAGAGCTATCACTAAACCTGGGGGTAAATCAGGAGCCTGGGAGAAACAGGACTAAGGTAAACAGTGGGCCTTTGAATTTCTAGAATATGTAAACAGTAGTCACCACTGAAGTTTAGCCCAGCGCTAAAAGGAGTCTAGTGTGATTCATAACGCTGGACTTAGGCTAAACAGTGGTTTATAATGTGTGTTGAAATGGGGTAAGTTATCCCAGAGCTAACTCTTAGCCCTTGTCTTATTTTGGGATTTGTTGACAAAGACAATTAAACTATACAGTTTTCTTTTTTCAGCTGCAGTTTGAATTGACTCCGTGTGTTGTGGGGATAGATTCATTGATAGTGGATATAATTGATCTTCTACGTTTCAATATATAGTATTTGAAGGCACACGCAATCATTCACTTTGGTTTTTATCAGACAATGTACAAACAAGCTCCATGTTGTCTTCTGTTAGATATGTGACTTGCTTTTCATAACTTAAAAAGCAGCATTTAAATGCAATTAAATCATAGTAGGTACAACTTTGCAACAAGCATATAACTATGTATTCCTGTAGTGTTTCTTGTATAAAGTAGTAGAGAAGTTGGTCCCTTTTGAATGGCGTCTTCTTCCCTTTCGTTTTACCCTTATCAGTGACAGGCTGGCAGCTATTATTCATTACGCTGAATCAGGTCTAATGGCCGAAATACAAGAGGAACTTCACCTGCTCCACACACGTTGTCTTTGTTACATGTGTGGCTGTTTGCACACGTTACTGTATGATTAGGGGTGTAACAGTTCACAGAATTCACGGTTCGGTATGTACCTCGGTTTGGGGGTCACGGTTCGGTACAACAAGAAAAAGCAAAAAAAAGTCCCAAATGCATAATTCTAGATTTGTTTTTTATTTATTTTTGAACAGTAGTGCAAGTTTCAGTTTAAAAATAAGGAACTCTAACATTTTGAATAATTAACTTTATTACACAGTTAAAACCACAAACAGTACCACACACATAATGGCTGATGTCAAACAAAAAGGTTCAATAAGCTGTAAAACTAAAAAGAATGTCTTGAAAATATTACAAAAATAAATAATAAGATAGTGTTTCAATCACAATCAATAAAAGCCGGGGTCCTCTACTATTGCATAAGGGCGCAGCATAGCCGTTGAAATATGTATGCCAATAGCTTCCGTTACTTATTTTGATCTCTCGGCTTTCATGTCTCTTGGTTTATTAAAAACAGCGGGGATCAGCTGTTGAACTGCTGCTGTCTTTTGCCGGGCTCCGGTGATTGGCAAATCTGGGTGATGCCTTCTGATATGATTTAGCATGCTTGGCGTGTGTTACCATTAGCATACCGCACCGCTATCGAACAACGCCGACACACCGTCCTCGTCCGATTCACCACTCGCACTCCATCGTTATTGTAGTCCACAGGGAACCCGACATGTTCCCACACAGCTGATTTAAAAGAAGCAGGTGGGTTCTAGCTCCTGTCTGTTATCGGAACTCGCCATACTAACTTTTCTTCTTCTTGTACTTTATTCGTTTTGTTGTGTTTCTTCTTCTTCTTCACTTGTTGTTTCAGGGCGGCCGGCAAACAGCTTTTAGGCAAAATACCGCCCCCTGGATTATAGTGTAGTGGATACTGCCCTGAATGACAGACTTTTTTCCCACTCGTAAAAAAAAGGCGTTTTCGTCGTGTGACTGCGTGTGCCGAACCGTGACGTCCAGTGGTGTAGTGGGGATTTTTTTTACTGGGGGGACGCTATTTTAAATTAGGTCATCCCAAACAATGCCACACAAGTGCGCATGCGCGCAGTGCACTCACAAAACGGGCAGACAGGTCCACAGAAACTACCGGTATGCTTAGTCCTACTTTAGTTACTGTACTGCAAAAAGCAGACGGCGCTGTGCTCAACACACACACAGACTCAAAACCATGGACACACTGGCACATACGTTACATAAACAATGTATAGGCCTAAATTGCATAAACTACAGTATTGCAACTAGCAGACAGCGCTGCTTTTCTCTCTATCTCTCTCTATCTCCACTTTCAAAATCTATTTAAAACTCATAACAAACAAACAAAATTCCCAGTTGTCCTGAAATTAACTTATTAAATAAACAAAACGAAAAAAATATATAGCCTACTAATGCAAACATTGAATCTGGACTTGAAATTATTCTGATTAGGCCTAGCCTACATTGCAAATAAGCAGACAGCGCTGCTTTTCTCTCTCACACACACACACACACACACACACACACACACACACACACACACACACACACACACACACACACACACACACACACACACACACACACACACACACACACACACACACACACACACACACACACACACCTTGGGTTTTGAAGACTGATAAATCCGTAATGGATGAACAAACTTTGCAGCCCAGTTTCCCAGCTTTGCAGTCAATCCACGGGTAGCCTCTTGTTTCCTCCGCCACATCTCCTCCGTCCACACCTCTGGGAAAGGTGAGCTTGAGATAGCCAGGGGAACGTTGCTAGCGCAGCTAACGTGCACGTTAGCTAGCATTATCCACGTCTTTAGGCGGCTCTTCTGATGATGTATTACTAGCAGCTTCACTTGTAGCTTCGGTGCTGCTAGCTTCTTTCTTCTTGTGAATTATATTCTTTTTAGAAAAGAAGTCAAGTAAAAAATGTTTGCCTGCCATTATAGAGCTTTTTCGTTAGAGTTCTTGAGGGAAAGAGCTGCCGCAAAATCGGCGGGCGGTAAACTGGCCGTGGGTGTGTGACTGACACACCCCTAGCTCGCTGCGGGGTCACGAGCGTGATGACGAATCATAATTCTTTAAGGAAATCGTTTTTATTTTGTATTATAATTACTGTGAAATGTATTATGTTTTTGTCATTATTACAACAAATACACACTTGCAACTGATAAGACTGGCAATGATTTTATATTTATTAGACTATTAAAAAAAAGATCATGCTCCAAATAAGTGGGGGTACAGCGTACCCCCGTGTCCAACGCCCACTACACCACTGGTGACGTCCGAACCGTGACGGTACGGGACGAATACGGATACCGTTACACCCCTACTGTATGCACATTGTTTGCAGTTTTGTCAAGTGACAATTCAGTTTCTCAAGTGTTGGCTGTACTAATTGGCAAATAATAATTCATAATTAATTCATCCAATGGATTCAGGGTCGGCGTCATGGGGGGTCATTCGCGGGCCATGCCCCCCCAAATGAGTCACTGTGCCCCCCCAACGCAGGGTGGGCAAGCCTTATTGCCACTTTGCCGTTTTTTTTTTTTAATCATATAAGTTAAAACGTTTCCACCAAAAGTTTTTTGTGTGAAATACATCAGAAATAAAAAATACACATGTGTATTCTTTATTTATTCTTTATATGAAACACAGCCTGAGGTGTGCTCACTGCTGCTCTCTGATTGGTGTGTTGCTTGACCAATGACCCCGACTTTTGTTTTGTTATCATTACGTGGCTGTGTGTTTAGATGAAAGCCCAGTGGCGATCTGTCCATCTGTTACACTGATTATACAGTAAGCCATCGAAAATAATATGATATACAGTACAGTACAAGTACATGGGTCTCTGTGTGTCATTCAAGCTCGGCTCTCTGTGTGTGGCACGAGCGCATTTTGTCAGTGCGCGAGCGGTAACGTGGAATATTGTTGTTAGCATCTGGTTAGCTAGCTATGCTAACGGATATAAAGAGCTGTTTCTACACCAAGGTGGAGGACAGTCCTCTCCTGTCAGACTGAGAGGATCTTATAACGTCAGCTCAGTGAGGTAAGGACTCTCAGTGTTTAGATAGTTCACTTTAGTGTAAGTTATCTCAGTGGGTCTCAAACGGTTTGGTCACCATTTATGTAAACAAGTATTTGCGAGGAATAGGCTACCTTTATATGATCATTATAGTCATTAAAGAATAAGAGAATAAATGAAAAACGGGTATGAAATACTATAGGACAGTAACACAAGAATACAGTTTAAAAGGGGAATGATTAGTAAAATATCCATAAAGAAAAAGTAAATCTGTGTACAGTTCTGTTTCATATGGATGTTGAGAGATGTATCCATAGATCTCTTCATGTTGCTCTCAAAGTGCACCAGATTGATGCATTTAACTTCAATATTTTAAAAATAATCTTCCCGGGGGAGCATGCCCCCGGACC